AATCTAGAAAGATTCTGTAGATTGTTACATAAATGTCTTTTAAGATAAGATGCGCTATTTATAATGAATCTCTAACAAACATTTCAAGTAGTCAACCACTACTGCTTCTCATAAATATAGGTAAAACCATGGTTTTGATAAATCTAATAGCTAACAATTACTGAATATTTACTCTGTGCAAAACACTTGCCTAGTGCTTCATATATACTCGAATACTAAAATAATCAGTACAAGATGCTAAAACAACTATTTTGGAACTTTTTAAAAAACTGGTTATATTTTGCCTCCTGTCAGCTTAGAATATAAATTTTGATGCACGGTTAAACAATGTGACACAGATATCATTTTTACCTTTGAACACATAAAATCTGCCATTATGGAATAGAATCAAACATGGCTCTCCTTCTCAGAGGAAGAGCCCAGGGCTTGGAGACACTCAACTGTCCCCTCGCACTATAAAGCAACGTTTGCAGAAATTAAAACCTTTCTCCTGAATTGCAGGGTATTAACAATGCCTAAAAACGCATGGCTTCAGCAAATTTGAGCAACATGCCATATGGCAAGAATTGTTATATGATTTCTAAGTCAACAGTTTAGAATTTCTCAGGCCAAGAAATGTTAATGTCCACACTGATACCCAGATATGCTACCACAAGACTGATTTTTTTTTTGGTATGAAAGTTTATAGAAAAATGTTTATGAAAAATATTCCCCTACAAGAAAGAAAATTGAATGCAAGGTTACTGAAATTCACTGTTATTTACCAACATGACACATTTTAGGCAGTGATAAAAAATGTGGTTTTATTGTTGAGAAATCCTTAATTGAAATCAATAGTGATTTGAATATTTACAAAGACCTATTATCTGTTATGATGCTCTCAAGTTTATTAGTATTCACTATAACATAATAACTTTATAATCCTAAATGTGGATTAATGTCTATGTGTACATGTGGGGCTACAGGGGAAGATGCAGGTTTATGTAGAAATGTCGTGCTTTGGGTCCCCAATTCTGCAGGTTATTTCTGTATTTTTCTTAGCCCTGGAAAAAGGTTTGGCTTTAAAGACTCAGAATTATGTGCCATCAAGCATTATTATACTACCTAGGCAAAAGGTAATAATAATAACAAGAGATATTTAAAATGTAAAATGTCTCAAAGCATGATTCAATGCAATTCAAATGGCTTAACAAACAAGCCTTTGATTTGCCTCTGAAAAGGCCACTTTGATGGCTGTGTGGCCAGCATAAAATGTCTGATTCATGTTTTATCAGAGAGCTGGAAGAGATTTGAGATCATTCTAGGTCATATCTCCTCCTTTCACAGATGAGGAAACATAGATTCCCAATATTTAGCAGTTTGTGGCAAAACCAGGTCTCCTAAACACCAGTACAATGTAGTCTCTTTCCAAAGAACTGATGTTACTATCCTTACTCCTGCTACAATGTGACAATAATAAAGATGCTAAATATTATGTGGGCTTTTCTTATGTGCTAGGTAAGGGCTTAAGTACTTCACATAAACAGGTCATTTGGTCCTCAAATCAACCCTGTCAGATCAGAATTATTATCTTTATTTAGCTTATGAAAAAACAGAAGCAAAGTGAAATTAGTAACTCACCCGACCTTACACAGATAGAAGGTGAAGCCAGGATTTGAACCCAGTCTGACTTAAGAGCTCACGGCCTCCTACCACTCCGACCAACCAACTGCAATGCCATTAAACGTACTATAGACCTACTTATTGTATTTCTAAATCAGAAAGCCTGAGAGTAGCTCTTGCTATAGCTTTTAATAAGTGGCACAACAGAAACATAATTGAGAATTTAACATTTTATATATCACATGAAACTTAAGAGTCTTTGTTTCTCTTTGCTCTTTCAATGCACACACTTATCTTTCTCTCCCTCTCCTGCCCTCTGTCTCCCTAGGTTTTGAGAGCAGCCTTAAGAGCTCTGATTCAGTATCAATGATGCCTTTATTCATTGAGCCTGAAAAATAGGTTGGTTTCAGAAAATATGTGCTTCTCCTTCTCCATTTCCTCTATTTCCCATCAGAGAATGAATGCTTCTATCTTAATGTTTCTATTCACAAGAAGAAGAAATTGCTATTTGTTAATGCAGCGAAAGAAATCAAACTACCAATCAACTAATCTACTAGTAATGTATTTACTACTCAGATTATTTACAATAAATGAAAACAAACCTGAGAGAACAGCAAGCAAGAATTTTAGTTTTTGACTACGTGGTCAGTCACAATATTTGTACAATAGGGAAATCTAAAGAATAAGAAATTTTCTCCCCCAATTTTGTAAGTAGATATTGTTCTATAAGCCAAGAGAATCCTATTTCAGGGCTAACTGGATCATGGTATTTGATGTGATCATGCAAACTAAAATTTAGTAAATTTTAGGCTATCAGTATGTTTAAATATCATTTTTATCTCTTTAAGTATTTCTGAGCATACTATTTGTAATGAAGAGGCACAGAAATCTTGAGTTTCACATTTGAATTTTATCGTCTGTATTTAAAGTTATTTTTAGTAAAAAAAAAAAAAAAAAAAAAACAACTTTGTTCTACATTCAAGGACATGAGTGATACTGCAGAAGGCCAGAATGGTCTTTATGGGCATTGATGGAGAATGTGGAAAAGAAACAATCTTCCTTAAGCATTATTTTAACCACATCACTCCAATGGTCTCCTTTTTTTTTTTTTTTACCATATCGGTCTGAATTCTTAGTCTAGTTTTTACCATTTCCTATTATTTAGCTTTACTCAGCATGTACAAACTGGGTTTCCCACTGCTTCCCCCAAGATGTACCTTCTGCTCAGACCAGTGCTATACAACCATGCTCACTACTACTTCTACATCTTCAGTTATGGAAAAGCCAAATGAAGTATCATTTATGGGCACCTTCCATTAATCAGCATGTTAAGTTACCTACTTAATCTTTGTAACAACATATGAGACAGGTACTATCATTTCTATATTACCCATTTGACAGAAAAGAAATTGTAGCTCAGAGAGGGGTTGAAGTAAGAGAACCAAAGAGGGTGTCCTAAGATTTAAACACAGATTTGACTTTGGAGCCCATGTACTTTTCTTGATATCATGATGCTTCCTCTTGTCTGGATGTTCTCTATACCATCATTTGGCTAAACCTATGCTAACCTTCTATATCCAGTTTTAACTATACCTCCTCTATGATGCCTTTCTAGGCAAATGCAGTCTTTCCAGATTTTATTTCCCCTTGGGTTTTCCACAGTACTTAAAATCTGTAAAATTTAGAGTTTAACTAAATATTATCTCAAAATGTTTACTGTTGTTTGTTAAGCATTCTTTTGCTTTCCAACTTAGTTTTTTAATTTCTTAAGGGCTTTCTAGGCTGCACACACAGTAGAGGTTTCAAGGATACTTAAGGAACTATTCTGAGACTTTTTGGCTTCCTGGGTTATATCAGAAAAACAAACAATAACACCGAGCAGAGGCACAAAATGGATGTGGGGAGCCATAGAGCAAAAGGTGGGGAAGGGAGACTGGGGCTATATAATAAAAAACTTTAAATGACATCCCAAGAGTATAGATTTTATCTATAAGTGATGAGGGATCCTTGAAAGCATGTGAGAATTGCATGAGTAGAGTTCTTATTCAGGACGATATATCTGGTTGTAGCCTCAATCACATCAATTGAACAGAGAAAGAGATTGGACTTTGCATAGTCACAGCATTTGTCCTCATTTGTTTCTGTGACAGTAGGAAATGTTTTAGTTTTATTGTTTATTTAAACCCAAAATCACGCACCCAGCACAAAAATACATCCACAGAGCTAACAGTCAAGGCAGATTGTTTCAGTTCTCTAGAATTTATTATCTAAAGTTCCAAAGGACAGATAAAAAGATAAATTACAACCTACATTAAGAACTATTTATTTGTGTTAATAAAACGCATTGCTGAAGTTGCAGGAATGATGTTTTCAAAAGAAAGGCTAATTTACCCAATGTGAATAAATGAAGAAATTTTCCTAGTTCAAAATTCTTAACTTTTGAAAAATATATATAGCAAATAACTTTCAACAAATTTGCTTTATGTGGCAAGGAAAAGGCTATCAATAACATTCCTTACAAGCAAGTAACTTCTTTCCTTTTCCCTTCTAATCTTTTAAGATATACATCCTCTCCGTTCTTCCTTCATGTTTTTTATTTTTTAAGTAAATGGGAAAGTCATTCAGCAGATATTCTTATATATAAAAATAAAGAGAAAATACTCATTAAGGTTATAAAGTAATGGGGAACACAATCAGAAGAGAAGAAATCAAAGACTTCCTCCACTAAAACGAATGCTTCTCTCTTAGGCTAAAGCAATTGTGATTAACTCCTAGGAAAGGCTAAGATTTACCAGTGATCGATCACAAATAACAAAATTAGCAATCATTTGTGCTGGAATAGGGATAAAACGCCTCATGGAAAGAACATTAGCAAAATGTGGGGCTAGGAGGCAGTGTTTCCCCATGGAAGGTGTAATTCTCGTTCACAGCACCACTGACTGCTTCAGAACACTCGTCCTGAGCAGACCCTGGACACCAACAGTGCACTGTGCTTTGCTTATGTAGAAGTGTGCACCCTGAAAGTTAACGACAAGGCACAGCCTGTTAAATCTCTTATGTGACAATCACCGCAGCTACCACTTGCGGCTTGAGGTGGTTCCCCATTATCTCTAACCCTTGGAGCACCTCTGAAGATACTAATATCCCATTTACAAATGAAGAACCTGAAGCTTAACGAGGTTGAAAAAAACAAACCTGCCCATGGCTTCTCAGCAAGTAGTAGCTGGGCCTGATCCTGAAATCAATCTGACTGACTCCCAAGCCCATGCACTAGACTGCAAAGAATGAGTGTGAATTTTATGGGAAAAACAGAACTCCAGAATAATTTTAAAAAAAGACAGACATAATGGAGGAGGCCAAAGGCCCAACTGTCAAGTTCAGAAAGAAAGCCAACTTACCAGCATATTTTGTAGTGTTAGATTCATCCATGGACCAAAAGCAATAATCAAAGGCAAATACCTGTATAAAACAGAAAAATATGAAACTTAAAAATTAATTAACTTCTTTGAGTACATCAGACTGCAAAAAATAAAATTCACTGATGAAGATGAGGATGCTAGTACTGTCTGATTTTAAAATAAAAAACAAAACACTACAGGTTTGCTGCTTTGTTAACCCTGAAGTTTCTTTTTAGACTACATTGATGGTTATCTACTTACATCAGAGTTAAGTTGTACATGGAAATTGCTATTTATCTAAAATTCAAACAAGCAGACATCTTAACCAAAAAAAATGTTTAATGACACATTTAGTGAGAAAAAACAACTGACTTCTCTCCAATTCTACAGTTCTAGCATCTGCTGTAACCCTCCAGCCGGATCTCCCACAGCTTTTCAATAAACACTAAAGTAATCGACTTTTATTTAAACCAATTCCTCCTAATTTTCCATGATGCTACCATTTCCAGCATAGCCAAAGCTTAAAACTTCCCACATTCCCATTTTGGACTCCACTCCCTCTTCTGTTTCAGCATGCAATCTTGGACTAAGTATTGTTAATAAATCAGTAATTCATGCTTGTATCCACTGATGTCCAGTATAGTTACTGAACGCCTACTATGTACCAGGAATGGCTGATGCTGCCTAAAAACTGTTATCCAATTGTTGTTTCCCATGCATGTGACCACCACTCATGTTCTAGCCATCATCATCAAATACATGAGGCAACATTCCCTAAAGTGTGCTCTAAGGCAGCAGTCCCCAACCTTTTTGGCAGGTTCTCCTATGAGAATCCAATGCTTGATGATCTGAGGTGGAGCTGAGGCGGTGATGCTAGTGCTGGGGAGCAGCTACAAATACAGGGGAAGCTTCACTCGCTGCCCTACCACTCACCTCCTGCTGTATGGCCCAGTTCCTAACTGGCCGCAGAGCACTACGGGTCTGCACCCAGGGACTGGAGACCCCTTGCTCATGAGACAATCCATGAAAAAATATTAAAACATGGTATATTTTGCTCTGTCTGAAAATCTCAATATTAAAAGCTCTGAAAAGTCCTGCAGCAAATAAACCCATTTAATTGTTTACCTTTTTATTTCTCCAGTTAATTTTGGTGAGGAGACCCTTTCTTGAGTAATACCTGTTAACATGCCTTGAAACCAGTGTTTTTCAATGTACCTCTTAGTAAACTTTGCCCTGACTCAGCGGCTACTTTCCTGGGCTCCTTGTTACAGCCTTTTCCCCCTTGCAGTCCAAACAGCAAATTACAAATCTGCCATGGACAGGAACCCTTTAATGCTTAACCATTTCCAAGCAAACAAAACCCAAGCACTTTGGCCTGGCATTTGAGACTGACTGCAATGAGGCCTTTCCAGCTTATGTCCCCTGACTTATTTATGCTTCAGCTGGACTTGTCAGCACTTTAGTGTTACAAGGTACAATCCCACCTCTGTTGGTGTTCTCTTCATTTTTACCCTTCAAAATGCTTCAGACTCCTTAAGGCCCAGTTCAATGTATTTTTCTTCCAGGGAGCATTTCTTGGTTCAATCCCAAGGAATTAGCTTTCCCAATTTTCTGAACTCTCATAACACTGTTTAATCCTATTTTTGTGATATTTATTCCAACTATTCTATTTTTCCCTTATCATGTGTGCTAAGGAGATTCCACAACCTCCTTATGTCATCTGTGCATACGTTTTATCTCCACTGGTAGACTAAATTCCTTAAAAGGAAGAACCATACCTGATTTGTATTTGTATCCTGCAGTGTTCAAAGTAGCTGCTTTATAATTATTTATTGAATGAATAATGGCATTGAGAGCTTACATGAAAGCTGATACTCGCTACATCATCAAGACTAAGTTGTGCTCTGAATAGTTTCAGCACTACATGTATTTTAATGATTTTAAAATTGATCCAGGTATGTACACAACTTACATCATCAATCTCAAGTCCAAATTCAATTTTGTTACTTATACAAACATTCACTCTGTTCTTACAATACACAAGGCTAAAATGAACAGCGATGAAACAACAGTTTCAGCCAACAGAGTGTGGAATGTTTACTGCATTCAGAGGGCTGTTCCAATGACTTGAGAGACCACACAGGTGTAATTCAGTTATTCTTTCCACCTCTAGGCAGGGCTGAACTTCAACACTTCTCCTGAGAGATGAAGATCTGTCTTGTTTTTAAACATTTCCAGAAAAGGAGATTCCACAATCTCCTTTTAATGGCATCCTATAACACTTAATGTTTATTCCCATGACATTTTCTTTTCCTTTGGACCTAAATCAACTCTCCTTAAATGGCCAGTAGAGACTCTTTTCCAATTTTTAAGTATCTTTGTTTTCCTCTACAGTCTCAATGAATTCCTCTTAGTAGTTGCTAAAATAATAATTTATTCCCTACATGTTAATTTTTCCATATCTGTCTAAAATTTCTTTTTAACAGTTTGCTATTTTACATACAAAGTTCAAAAGCTAAAGATTTACATTCCCAGGACACTACTTGAAATAAAAAGAAATTTTAGAACCTCAAATTTTTAGGGTCTACCTCTCAATGATAATCATTCCAAATTCTGTGCCAAGTTTCATATCTAACAGTTAATAGCTTAAGGTTGTTTTTGCTCATAAAAAAGATAAGTAATTTGCATTTTAAGCATTTGCCACCTAAAATTCAGAAAAGTGTTAAAACCGTGCAGAGGAGAAAAGTACTGATAGATACAACTGTTCTGTGCTTGTCAAATACCGGCCTCTCCCTGACTGTCTCAAATTTCAAAACTTTTGATCACAGGCATTTAGAATGCCCATCCCTCAAACCAGTCATGGTTATTAGTTTACTAAACATTTACCAGTAAGAAAGATGAAGCCCAGAAATCTGAGAGAGTTGCCTAAAAACTCAAAGCAAATGAATAGAAAAATTCTTATTTAATGCATGCAACAAATGATCACCTCCTCTATGAAATTCTACAGCACTCTGCATCTCCCACGGCACTAGTTCACATGTGGTCCTATTTTATACCTCAGTTGTTCAGTATGGGTCTCATCTCCCCTCTAAAGCCTTTGGGGGCAGAAACATTGTCTCATGCACCTCACGGTGCCTGGGTCAGTACCTCATGCAGAGCAGCCACTGGACGTAATATTTTCAATAAGTAAACATAATACCAGAAAAAGCTGGAATGCAGACAAGAACATGGAATAGATGTGAGGACTGTTATAAATAAGAAGAGGTTCAAACTGCAAGATATGTTTTTAGATGTTTCATTACTTTCAGATGCATGTTTTGGGAGAACTTGGTTCCATCAATGGTGAAAAACAGATTTTGTCACAAGATGAGCACTGGGGTCCTCTTTCGCACCATCGTTCATTCCATGGTTCATATGGATGAACAGGTATGGCCTCATCATATATGACTTTTAGTATGCAAGGAAATGAGAATGATCATTTAACTATTGGTAGAATAATTATTTGTTATACTGTTACTAAAACAGTTTTAAAGATGTTTATAATTTCTTTGTATTAGGTAGTCCAATCATTTCTCTAGCTATCTCGTTAGTACTATAAACTGTTCACAAACTATTATCTTTCTTTTCATGGCCAAAATTTACCTATAATTTAATGACATAAGGTTTGTAACAAAAGGGGATATGATTTTCTTGGGTTTTACAGAAGTTTTCATTTTCTAATACAAAATCCACTGATATTTCAAAGGAGATAACAAACCCATTTTCTTGAGTTACTCCTTGGAAACTGACCACTTCAAATAAAAATAAAATAATTTTTCCAAAGCCAGCACATTAGAGAAATATGTGCTTCTAACTCATTTCATTAGCATTCCTAAATGCTTATTTCATCTATTCATTATGAAGTCACCAGTATCTTAACTGTAGTGTGGGAGATGGGGGACTTAAGGGATATAACTGAGCAAAAACATAAATCAAAATTGGAAACCGAGTATAAATTTCATATTTCATCAATACCAATCAACACTATGAGAACTTTTTTTGTAAAGGCACCCATACCTTCCAAGAGCCTTCAACTAGAACAAAGAGCCAAAACTAGAGATGCTCTCCAGTTGTTTTTAAAATCTGAAAGCTATTGTCTTCATTGTTTTCAATAAAATGTGACTCCACCTTCTCAGAATCCCACTCCTTCCTCTTCATTTGCAACTTGTAAAATTCATATCAGCATTTAATTCCCTGCAGCTTGCAGTCCACATCTGCTCCACCTTCATCAATCTCTTAAAAAATGTTAGCTTCGCATCTTTGTAAACCACTGAACAGCTAGTAAAGTTACTACAAGCTGTTTTTAATAAGGCAAATGTGTTGAATGTTATATTCTGAGGCAAAGTTCTAGGACTTAGGAGCAGAATGCAGCATAAACTCCATTCTTATCTAAAAGTCTAATCTCTGAAGGCATTTCAGCAAAATTCAATTTACAATTAAAAAAAAAAAAAAAAAGGAAGAATCGTGTACGTTCCTTGAAGAACCAGAAGGCATCAATGTTCTAAAAAATGTGATCCAGTAATCATTTTCCTGATCTAGAAAAGGCAGTAGTAAAAGTATTTTCAATTGCATTACCTCTGTATCCTTTCATTCATTCTAATTGTATGCTTTCTGTAATGTGTTCTACTGTAAAATGTTTAATCCAGAAAGCAATCAACAAATACCTATTTGCCATCTTTCTTGGTTTTAGGTACCCTAGGGTACTCAAATATGTATTAGGCATGTTTTTTGTTCTCTAATCACTTACAGGCTAGTTAAAAAGACAAAACATAAGATAATTATTCTTGAAAATTTTTAAAAAAGCACATTTTCAAAATCATTTAAATAACTCTCACAACCCCTCTCTAGGCAGAAAGTGATTAACCTAATACGTTTCTCAAGATAATGTAATTTTATGCAAAGAAATATCTCCCAACGTACAACAGATTTTTTGTACAGCGAGTCAAAGCCCACTCTCTTTCAATTTCTCCTTATTAAAATCTTTCAATATCATCTCAAATGTCACTCCCTTATGAAAACTTT